CTTATTCTCCTTGCAACCTGCATTGGTGTCTCCTCCCCAATGCTCTGATGGGACCAAACCACTTCTGTGCCACTCCTTCTGCAGAGCATGATTTTGGAGGAGAAGCTGCCTATCCAACTTCTAATAGATGGCTTCAGGAAAACTGACCACCCCCATTTCCATTTACCCTCACTCAAGCCACTCCAAGTAAAACAAGAATACTCTTCAATGCTGTCTCCATCTTATATAAACTATGAATAAAACCCTCTGTAGAAAACATAGTGTTTTTAATTGATATGAAACATATGTTGTAAGTAGAAAACAATGTGCTTAATTGTGTAAATGTAGTTTCAAGAGAAGTCCCCTGCCACCCTCTCCTCCTACCCATGACAATTTCATATCATCTTGCAGCCCCTGAGTCCCTCAGCCTCAGCCAGTTGTCTCCCCACCCCCAAGATGGTTCCAGAGCTTAATTATTAAATAAGAGAGGAAATGATTTAAATGCAATTGGTGACAGAAGTAAAGAGTTGACTCAAAACTGGTAACGTAATAGTTCTTATGATTATGGGGGGAATGAACTTGAACTTTACTGGAGCCAGGTTTGCTCCAGCAATCTCATGTTTCACCAGCCATCCATCTCTAGGGACATTCAGAGGTCAGATGTCAGACTTTGAACTTGACTTTAATCCTTTAGATCCTGAAGCTTGGCAATGAGTTCGAAGCACACTGCGTTTTCTTGGGATGATGGTGTCCAGGTGGGTGTCACTACTCAGTGTCTCTCCAGGCTACAGTGGGCATCGGCAGAAGGAGCCTCTATCTCAGCTAGAGAAACGGCACCAAGTAAGGCAGCCAGAAGGGGAACCATTGGCAGTATCACAGTCACAGTTATAAGTACGGATGGACCCTTGACTAGAACACAGTAAAATTCTACTTGTTCACACAAAAGTAGAAAGTGACAGTGAAAGCTCTGAAAATTCAGTATCTTTGAAAATACTTATATTTTTATTAATTTTAAAGTGCTATCCATATTTTTAATTGTATATTTGATCAAGGCAGTTTCTTGTACAGATCTCTAATTTCTTCAAATACCCAATTAACGATCCTGAAGAATGTAGAAATGATCAGTACTCTGTTTCTCCCCCGAAGTTATTAGAAGACTGTGTCAGGTGCCACCAGAAATGAGAAAAACCAAACCAAACCAAACAAACAAACAAAAAACCAGGACTGAACATGATGGGATTTCGATTAGAGCATAAATATAATCTTTTTATCCAGGCAGGATCCATAATAAAGGGTAAAAAAAAAAAACCCTTGGTATTTAAACAAACCAGCCTGTTAGAGTTGCAGTTTTGTTTCAGAGAGGGGAAGGGATATCACACAAGGATAAGGACTTTTTAAGAAGACTGGCTCCTGGCGTGTGCATAAAGGGGAACTAACAGGATATGTATTTAGACTTCCATAAAGCTTTCAACAAGTTCACATCCCAGTGAGTCATCCTGGGATTGGCAGAGGTGGCTTTGTTCTACATGAAGGCTGTCTCAAAAACTGAAAATCATTTCTGGCCTAAAGTCTTCCACAGCTTGACTACTGGTCATCCTCCAGCCTCTCTTGCCCTAAGATCCTCCTTCAGGATTCAGAATGATCTTCCAGGAATGCAAAACCAATCAGGTTACTCCTGCTTACTACCTTCAATGGTTCCCATGGCCGCCAGGATTCAAGTCTACACTTCTTAACTGTGATAAGGGCCTTATGATCTGGTTCCTTCCTGGTTACCTTCTTTAGTACACACCTGTCACTTTGTTGGAGGCTCAGCATTTGAAGCACTTTCTTATGTTTGAGAAAAGTTCTTACCGCCTTATAATTTAGAGCTGAACATACCATGTGCTTGCCTTTTCAGCCTCCCGTGCAGCTAGGACTCAGGCACATGACCCAGGCTTGGCCCATCATATTCCCCTGAATTCCCGAGCAAGTGATGGGAAGATAACAGGAATCTTGAGGAACTCTTTCCAGTGGCTGTGATTGCAACAAGTTTGATGAGTTCTTGGACCAACAGAGGCAGAGTAACCAGTGTGGGATCCTGTGCCCAGTGCCCAGAGCTAGTGGCATCAGTCAGACACATGGCAGCATTTAATGCTAAGATGAGGTGTAATTGCTGTTCTCACCAGACCATTTCCAGGTGTGATATGGGGCAGTTTGTGATCATTAAAAAAGACTTAAAAAGTAAACTCTTACGAACCCATTGCTCAATAATTCTAAATGTTAAAAAAAAAGTTTTGAAAATTATGACTTTTAATAACTTATTAAATAATGAATAAGTGTAAATATTATTCATATAACATTTTAAAGAAAAGAAACAAAGACACAGAGAACTTAGATACCTTCCAGTTGAGCAGGGGTACAAAGGCTAGGCGAGAAGTGGGTGGGACTGAAAGTTCTAACCCTCTAACCACAGGGCTGGTTCTCCTGGCAACCAGCCCCCATCCTTAGGTAGGGTCCTAAATTCACCTCCTTAACATATCAATAGACACCTTTATCTCATCACTTGGGAAATCCCAAGGGTTTTAGAAGCTCTGTGCCAGAAACAGGGACAAAAACCAAATATGTATTTATAAAGTGAAATCTCAGGCTTTCACTATAATCTGAAGCTCTACTATCTCCTGATCATTTTGAGCTTCTTGTACCTGGGGAAAAGTAGATCAAAAAAAGAAAGAAAAAGTTTTCATACTGGCAGCATTTAAGTGACCTTATAAGGAACTCAAGCTGCTGCTACACAATGAGGGCAGGAAGGGCTATGTCTGGAACCCAGGGGATTCACTGGACCTTGATGCTTCCAGATCCAGTGATAACTATAAACAGGTAATGGCTTCAGCAGTGGCCTGATTACAGTTCTGGCCTTTGGAAATGAGGGTCCTGGTGACTCTATCAGGCAAGCAATCGAGACCTGCTAAAGTGAGGGTCAAAGGAAAGGAAATTCAGAAAGCATGGTGGGGGAAAATAAGTATCAGTTATAGCTCCGGACTAGTTTCAACAGTATAGATGGCAGCTTGCTCCACTAATTCTCCTGCACTGAGTCTGTACCTAACCACCACCCTGAATGACATGTTACAGACTGGATTTATTTGTGCATAGATCCAAGCTGTGTATGGAGTGGATGAGGAAATCCTATACCTCCTGTGCCTTCCTCTTCCTCTTGGCCCATCTTTTTACTCCAATTGCTGCTGCAGCTCTCAGCTGCCTGCAGATGTGACCAGACAATACTTCTCAGCTGAACAGCACATCACTTCCTTTCTGCCCTAAGTTTCCGTCCTCGTCCATGTGAGATGCCTGGAAGGACGCAGCCAGCCATTCTGAGGTATGCCCACACCTGGGAATGCAAGGGAACTAACTGCACATACCAACTGTTGACCAGCAGGGAGAAGAGCTGGTGGAGAAATACTCGCTTTCCAAGTCTGGAGGGAAAATTCCTTGTATATTCCACAGGGCTCCTCAGAAGGTCCCTAGTAGAATTACACACTTACTCCCAGAAACAACAGGCCATTCGCACATACTTGATGGGCTTCCCCTCTGCCTGTTTCACTCTTAGCAGTCTCCCTCTAATCCTTTCAGATCACTTCCTAACATAAACTATCTGCATACAAGCTTTCCACTCAGGCTCTGCATTTTGGGGTATCCCAGGCTCATATCAGGACCAAATGAGAGAACAGTTATAAATATGCCTTGGAAGTTGAAACTGATATACTAATGTAAATCAGTCCTACAGAATATGTTGTTCCTACTATACACTTCATTGTACTTTGCCTTCGTAGATGAAATTGTCACCCTACTGTTTTAAGACTGAACTACAAAGCATGGGGTAGCTTTATTTTTTTGAGCAATTCTGTTATTTCATTTTCATCTTCATGACCTTCTGAGGTAGTAGGCATTACTGTCTTCATTTTACAGTGGAGGCCTGGGATTCTAACTGCTAAGCTCAATTCTAGCCCAGCTCTGACCTCCAAAGCCCATTCTCTACATTAGCGCTTTTCAACCTTTTTCATCTCAAGCACACATAATATACTTACTAAAATTCTGCAGCACACCAAAAATATATATATTTTTTGCTGATCTGACAAAAAAAAGGAATAGTTTGATTCATTCACACCAGACAGCTATTGTTCTGTTGGCTACCGTAATTATTTTAGTTGATAACCTAAAGGGGTCAGTGCCCCTGACTAAACAGTCAGATATTACGTTTTAGAAATTCTTGTGGCACATTAAAAATCGCTGCTCTAAACCATTTTACTTCTGTTCCTCAGCATGGCCTCCATCTTCCCTGTCTTCTCATCCCAGTGGTTCCCAATGCAGCCACATCCAACACCTTGCCCTTTTATGCCCTGCCAATCTTATGAACTTCAGTACCTAGAAATGCCACCTCCCTAGACAGGGCTGCTCCCCCATCAGTTTGCCTACCACACTTTCCTGAATCTTCATTGTATTCTTCTTTTCTTTATTGATTTGAGAGAGAGGAAGAGAGAAACATCTATGAGAGAACATCGACTGGCTGCCTCCTGCTTGCCCCCTACTGGGTATTCGGCCCACAACCTGGGCATGAGCCCTGACCAGGAAGTGAACTGGCGACCTCTTGGTGCATGGGTCAATGCTCAACCACTGAGCCACACCAGTCTGGCAATATTTTTCACCACTCTACTGTGCTTGTTCTGCTGCATTTACCACTGGGGCAGGAGCCAGATAAGAGCTTAGGTATTAAGTAGTACCAGGCATATAATAAACACTCAAATAATAACTGTTGAATAAAAAGTTGTCAGAAAGTGTACTCCTTAAGCACAGAGCCTAAGTTTGTCTAACCGACTGTTGTATTCCCAGGACATAGCACAATGCATGGCTCATAGTAGGCATGCAGTTGTTGAATGAGTAAATGAATAAACATGCATCTGTTTCTTCATTAAACTATGAATGCTCACTAAGTAGAGATTCTACAACAAATGTATGTTGAATCAAGGTACATTAAGAAAGAGAAACTATTAATGATTAATAGATTTATTAAACAATAACACATATAGTGATCATGTCAGACTTAATAAGAGATGTTAAATTTTCGATCCAATTTTCCTTCCTGGATTTGTTTTTCTTTCCTATCCTGAGTAAACAGAAAAAACAAACAAACATTAAAAACAATGCATTCTGGTACAACCCATGATACAACTCTAAAAAACAGGAATGACACACTCCAAACCTAATTCCAACCCCCCTCCTTCTAAAAATCTATGGAGCATGAGTGAGGAAGTAGTAGTCTGAAAAAATAAAGGAACAATAAGAAACTACTGCTATTGAAAAATATCTTACCCACATTATAGTAAGTAAAATTGTATTACCCCATTAAAAAGCATATTATTACAAGCAAAATGCTAATACTTTCTGGGTGTGGCCTACCCTTCTGTTAAGCAATATTCATAAGATAATCCAAGTATATATGCTCTAACAGGAGAGTGGACTGGCTGTTTTAAGGCAGAACTAGATAGGGGGCTCCAGTCTAGATGGCACTATGGAGCCTGGAAGCTGGGGCAGGAGTTCGCGCATCGGAGTGGTCTAGTGTCAAAGATAAGCTTAGCTTTCTCTGCAATCATATACCCAGGCCTCTGATGGCAGTGATTCCCAACACAGGCTGCCTTTGCTTTTCTGTTGTTAGGGTATTAATAAGTTTTAACATTAACTTGTAAAAGGTAACCAATAGAATGCCCACAAATAGGGAACACACTAAATGATTTATGTATTTTGCTAATACTTAACTCTAATGAATATCTCTTTTTAAAATAAATGAATTAAGAAAACTAAATGCAAAAATTTACAAAGATAGTATCTAAAGATTTATCAGAGTAAGTTTTCTTTCTGTACATCTTCTAATGAGAAAAAAGAAATTAACTTCTTAAAAGTTATTTTTGTATTCTCTTACATAACATTCACAGTATAATTTCCTTCCATCATCTAAAATATACCAGAAAAACTCTTTCATGAGCTAAGTTCAAGCCTTTGAAATTTAAATTGACCAACTTATTACTTTAAATTCTAGAGCAACCATTAAACTTGAAAGACCCACAGATTATAGTGATTTTTTTTTTTATCCTCACCCGAGGACATTTTTCCATTTTTTGTTCAGAGAGAGTGGGAGGGAGAGAGAGGAAGAGAGAGAGAGAAACAGTGACGTGAAAGGGACACATCGAGTGGCTGCCACCCACACGACCAACCAGGGCCAGGACAAACTGCAACCAAGGTACGCGCCCTCAGCGGGAACCGAATACAGGTCTCTCTGGACCACAGGCCGACGCTCTAACCGCTGAACCAAACTGGCCAGGGCAGATTACAGTGATTTTTAACAGAGCGTATTTCTATGAGGTGAAATGATAAAGAAATAAAACCAAACATGTAATTCAAATTATGTTTTATCTCTTGCTGGAAAGGAATAAAGATAAAAGAAGAGAGGGAGTGAAGGAAAAGTAGAAAGCCAAGATGGGAGGTGCACTGGTAGCAATCATCAAGACAAAGAGTAGTAGCCAGCTCAAGGTGAACCTATCACATAAAACTAACCCTCAGGTCCAAATACTTACTCTGTCAGTTTTAAAAACGTAATACCAGAAGACGAGGGGCCCAACTCCAATCACAGTTCCTAAGAGTGAGTTCTTGGGAGTGGGTCTGAAATTGGGATAGACATTTGCCGATCTTGCGTAGGTCCAACGAGCCAAAGCAGGATCTTCCTAGAATTAATAACAAAAAGTTACAGGAACTTAAGCAGGGTCACGCTAAGTCATCAGCACTTTTGTGGAGGAGCACAGGAGAGTCCTCCCTTTTGTTCTCTACTAGTTAAGGGTCTACTCTGAATATTCCTAAATAGCTTCAGGGAGGATCTTTTATTTCTACTATCTACTGAATAATTCTCTGATGATCCTGTTCAAATCCTTCAGAATTTAAAAGCATTTTTATAACACTCTTCAACTTTCTATTTATTTAAGATTTAAAAATCCTAATCTTTTTAAAGCTGTCAAAGAACCCACTTTTTCTCTTTGATCTTTTTTACCTATCCTTTTCTGGATTGTTTTTAGTTTCATCATCTTTCTTAAAGTGCAACCATTAGAACCACATAGTATTCCCGATGACAACAAATAGATTTCATATGTTCTATCATGCTTTGTACATTGTTTCCAGGTCCTTTATAATGTTACCCCAAAATTGGTCTTTCCAGGCTACAAATAAGCTGCAGAAAGGTGAAGACTGAGGTAGGCTAACGATAAACTTTTAAGTTTTTTAAGCTGACTTGGCTGATATTTTAAGAGCAAAATATTACATTTCACACTATTAAAATAGTTTTGTAGAAAGGACAAGGCTGTTGTTAAAGAAAAATAATCATTGTCTTAGTTAAGAAAAAAACTAATTGTTCACTTCAATATGTTTATACTAGAATAACTATGTAAGAATAACAAAGATACCTCAAACACATAATTAAATTTAATTAGCTAAATCCCCAAATGATTTTACAAAATTATTCACTCTGATTAACTTATAGATAAAAATAAGCAAATAAAATCATCTTTAAAATCTTAATACTAAGCTGTAAGGAGAATATTCAGGGTCCTAACCAATACCAAGAAGCCATGATTGGTAGGACTAACTTACTTAAACAGGATCTTTCACAGTAACATTTTAAACCAAACTTGTTTGCAGAAACAGCAAAGGTGAAGACACAAGATACAGATTCAAGGGATGTTTGAGTTCAATACATCCATTCTTTTACCTATCCCTTCTGCTATTAATGTATTTGAATGACTCTCGTGAATTCTCAAACTGCCAGTCACCTCTCTACACTTAGATATGTGACAGATCAGTCTTCTAGAACACATTTCATTTCAGAAAAATATCAATAGCCCTATGACCATAGTTCATTGAGCCCAGTACTGTTGTTAAGAGAGGTTCCAATACACACATGCCATGGAGGATAGTTCTTTGACACCACAAGTCTCAACTACTGGCAGCATGTGACATGGTGAACACTCCTTCCTGAAATCATGGCTTCCAGGAAACACACTGGCTTGGTCTTCCTCCTCTCTGGCCATTCCTTCTTAGTCTCTTTTGCTCTCTTCCTCCTTAATATTGGACTTCGGACTTTGTTAGTCATTCCTAACCACATTCACTCTCTTGGTGATCTCCTCCAGTGACATGGCTTTAAATATACATCTATAGCTTGATAACTCCCAAAATTATACCTGTAGCCCTAGACCTCTACCCTAAACTCCAGACATAATATCCAACTACTTGCTCAACAGTGACATGTTATCTAACAGACATGTCAAATGTGATATATCCCACACTGATTTCCCTATATTCCACTCTACCTCCATCCCTGATCCTCTCACTCTTCTCTGTCTTAGCAAAAAGCAAGTTCATTTTTCTGATCGCTTAGGTCAAAAACCTTGGGGTCATCACTGACCCCTCGCCTTCTCTTACACTTCACGTCCAATTTGCCAATGACTTACAAGGCCTGGTGTGATCTATCTTTCTGACCTCATCTCTTCCTACTCTGCACTCACCTTTCTCCATGTTAGCCATGATGCTGTCTTCAGTATTTCTGCAATTAAGTAGGACCACTCCTATCTAAGGACCTTGCTTGCACTTGCTGTCCCCTCTGCCTAAAATACTACTTTCCCTGTTCCCTCACCTCACTTCTTTCGGATCTTTACACAAATGCCACCTTCTAAGCAAGGCCTTCCCTGGGCCTATCTAAAATTGCAGTTGTTCTCCTTTCCTACTATATATACCAACTCTGAATCCCTTTCCTTACTTTATTTTTCTCATCATGCATCACTATCTCACAGGCTAAATGATTAATTTTTTTTAACCTACTACTTGTCTCCCCCATTGGAAAGAAAGCTCTATGAGGACAGGGGTCTCTGCCTATTTTATTCTCCACTGTTACCCACAACATCTAAAACAGAGCCTGGACTATAATTATTTATTCACTGACTCAATCATTCTCAAATATTAGACAAGTAATTTCCATGTACTGATCAATATATGATTAAGTGTGAGACACTCATTTAATGAACAGAACAACCAGGCAGGTATCACTATCTCTGTTCTACATGACAAAATTGAAATTGCCCTAAGTCACAGAACTGGAAGAGAAACTCTGGAGTTTAAACCTCAACTCTATCTGGCTCAAGGCCTTATTCTTTTCTTACTGCATCATACTATCCGGCACATCGAATCTAATTGTGTGAGTAATGCATATAATAAATGTCTCTCCCTGCACCTTCTTCCCAAATAAACAAGGTTCTGGCTGGAAATGATACAGCCAACTGGTTAAGCAGATGCTTTGGGTTACTTAAACCAAGGTTCAAATTCTGCTCTATCACTTGCTAACAGAGTATCACTCTATAAACTACTTGTCCTTCCCATGTTGTCTTCTCATCTGTAAAACAAGGATAGTAATAGAGCTTTAACTCTCTACATAGTTGTGATATCTGAATAATATTCAGGAAAGTTCAGATAGTGCCTGAGGAGTTGTAAATGTCCTTCAATTCTCACAATTTCCAAAAATTCCTACAGAATACCAATGCAACTGTTGGGAAAAGTTTTTTAAAAATAATATTTGATACCATATTTAAACAGCTCTTGTACAGAAAATTATCAAAAAGCACACCAGTTAAATAATAACAATGTTTGATGGGCATATATTATTTGCCAGGAATTTTACACAAGCTACCTCATTTAACTTTACATTGATTATATGAAGAAGATAATACCATTTCCATATATGAAGATCAGAAAACAAAGGTTCGGAGGGGTCAGGCAAATTGCCCAAGGACATATACAGGATGGGGGAAAAAGTAGTTTTCAGTTGTTCCTATAGAAAATAATACAATAATTAATAAATAGGCCCTGGCCAAGCAGCTCAGTTGGTAAGAGTGTCTTCTCAATACACCAAGGTTGTGGGTTCGGTCCTCTGTTAGGGCACATATAAGAATCAACCAATGAATGCATAAATAAGTGGAACAACATATTAATGTTCCTCCCTCTCTGAAAGTCAATAAATAAAAGTTAAGAAATAATTAATGCAAGAATAAACTTGTGTTTCCCGTACTCACAACTGTAAACCTACTTTTGCCCCATCCTGTAGTTTGCTAGTGTGTAGCACCTTGGAATCTGACTCTACAACCCAGTTTCAAAAAACTGCAGGGTCTTTAAAAATACAAAGTGAAGAATCACTATATTCCTGTCAGAAAACAGCAGCATGGCTATGAACTGTGAACTGTAAGGTGGAAAATGGCTTAAAAAAAAAAAAAATACACCCCACCCCCCCAAAACACACACATTTTCGAACACATTACAATCCTAGCACTGTACTGGCCGGTCACGTGCTTTAACTCATTTAATACTCATAAGACAGTAAGTAGTACTATATTACCCCCATTTTTCTGATAGGAAAACTGAGCGTAAGCCCAGGGGTTGAATCACTTTCTCAAGACCATCCAGGCGGGAAGTGATCAATCCAGGACTCAAACCCAGCCAGGAGTGTGAACCCAGAACCCATTCTTTTGACCAACAAACTCTCCCCAAGGTTAAAGGGCTGGTGAGTTGGCCTGCTCTCTGGGCCTGGACGAGGGCCAATGTCTAAGGCACGGGTCGGGAACTGTGGCCGCCCCGCTGCGAGGCCCCCTTGGCGGGTCAGGGCTGCCCGGCCTGAGCGGACCGCCCGAGCTCCCGCCCTGCCGACCCCCACTCACGATGAGCACCCGGCGGCTGGGGTCGTTGTACTGAAGCTGATACTCCCTTTTCAGCCGGGCCCTTATGGCCAACCGCTCGGCTTGTGCCTTCCGGGTTTCCGGAGATATGTCGTATTCAGCTGGGTCGAGGGTAGGGGGCAAGGTGGCCAGGCGCGACGGCTTATACTTAGGGAACGACATCTTGGGAACCTGGCCCGCAACTGCGCCTGCGCGGCCCCTGTCTCTTCTGACCTTAATCCTGAGAAAAAGTGCGCTTGCGCGTTAGGCGGAGGTTGGAGAAGAGTTTAGCTTCCTGCCTGACGGTCCTGGCCCTCTGATAGCGATCTGCGCGTGCGCAGAGGGCTTTCCTAGCCTAAGTGTCCCCATCCACTTCCCTCCTCTACCCCACTGCCCCTTCAATCTGTCGCTTGTTTCTTTCTAGCAGCCTTCTCTACTGACGTGACAGAATTTATGAGGTGAAATTGAGCTGTGTGGGACTTGCAGAAACAGGACATGGAACTGGTTGTGAAGCCCTGTGTCAGTGTGGATCCATCCAAGCACGCTGTGTGATCTTGGAAAAGTCACTTAAAGGCCCTGAGTTCCCCGGTCTATATCCGGAAGCTGATGACTCCTAGTCTGTCCACCTAGCAAAGGTGTTGTGAGGATTCAATAATACAACGAATAGATGCCAAAGTGCTTTACAAAATTTAACTCCCTAGCCAAGAAAAAGAGATAAAGCTTTATGTTGCCACATTAGATCCATGTAACATGAGTAGAAGAGTATTCACCATACGCGTGTAATAATGTTTAGTTGGAGAATGATGCTATAGTAGGTCTGACAAAAATTAAATAAAACCTGTGAGGAAACATGCTGGTTAAAATACTAAAATCTCTTACCACTCTTCAGATGCTAAGAATAGAAAACAACCTTAAAGATATGAAAATATGCAAAGGGACATTGTATTTTACTGTGAAAGATGATTTAGAGAGAAAAGGAAAGTAATTCAAAAGGAAACCATCTCCATTTCTATTGTCTTTCGCCCTCTTCTACTACAAGAGAAAAGAGCAACTCCAAGTTACCTGGCAGGGTCTTTGGGTACCAATCAGATACTCCTCAAGGGAAAACATGTAAACAGTATTTCCTTAACTCAGGCAAGGAAGCTGGATCAAAAGAGAGCTTCAGCTTGGATGAACTGTCTAGGGACATGGAGGTATGTGGGAAAATGGTTGCTAGGCAGAGAAGGGACCTAGACAATGTCGGCAATTGAAGTGATGAGGAGCAGCACTGCTGTCAAATTTATCCACATTTTAATACTGTTTTAAAATATTTATTAATCTCCCACAGCATGAAGTATACTACACACTAGTCAGTCAATCTTCTAGGCTCAGTGGGGGAAATACAGAAGTGAAGGATGTGATGTCTGTCTTCCAGGAGCTGACAGGCAGTACAGAAAGAACAGACAGAATATGATAATATTTGCAAGGCAGTTTAATGTCCAAATGAATAGAGAGCAAAATGGGCTCCTGAGAATGCAGGTCTGAGGGAACGAAGAAAAAAAGGAATTTGAGACAAATCACCTCCACTCAATTTTAAAGGGGAAAAAAAGAAATTCTGTTTTTTTCTAAGTTGTTTTAAAATATTAAGAAAATAAAACAAAATGAAAAGCATGAACAGGTTGTAAATTCTAAAAATTCTAAAGACTACATTGATAAAGTTTCAAAAAACATCTGTTTATAGATTAGGCACTGATCTAGGAAAGAGGGCATGTTAAAAGAATGAAAGAAAAAAGAAAGGAGTGCAATGAGTATAAGCCAGCTGGCAAAGTTAAAAAGGACTTTTAAAGTTGAGAGAGAGAGAATATAAACATCTTTTTGCTTTAAGTTAAAATGGTTATTCCTATACTCGCTTAATTATCATAAAGATCCCTTAAAATAGTTGTTAAAAATATGGAGTCCTGGGTTATTTTTTACTCTTGGAGATTCAGAATTAGTCTGGTAGGGGAACCCAGGAGTCTGTATATTTTAGAATTCTCCAAGGGAATTCTTACAGTATTGCATGTTTGGGAAACATAGAGATGGGTGCAAGGGTCTTCTTTTCCTCTTCTTTTTCCCAGAAAAGGCCCTCTTAGAGTGAATCTATTGAAGGTGGAGACCTAGATTCTAGAATGAAAGAAAAAGACTTGATTGGGAATTTTTCTTGAAATAATGCAATAAAAAAAATTATGAAAATGAATTTATCTTATATTTAACACATTTTAGGTTACAATGACAACTATATGCTAATTCTGATAACTCAAGGGTTAATTTGTAGGGATTTTATTTACATATAGCTCCTTATTCTTTACTTTGCATTTGATTTTTGCTGTAGGCTCATATTTCCATAAGTTTTTAGGGGCTTTATCCAGTTTTCCCAAGGCCCTCTCTTAATCCTTTAAAACTAAATTATCATTATTTATTTTGTTTTTTATTTGTTACCTTGTCCAACTCTGTGAGGTCCTCCTTTATTAGTGATTTTACATGTGGATCCAGCAGTTCACCATTACTTTCATCAATTTCATGAACTTACGTGTCTTTTGCAAATTTTCTATATACTTCAATGGTATTTGAGGGCTGGATATTTCCAAATGGATGACCGACACTTTGATAGGGGTGGGGTGGGGACTAAGGTTTGGAGATGAAGCAGTTTAAGTGGGCAGCAATTTCACAATTGGTCATTACATCAATGAATATTTCAAGTTTTGAGGGCTCTTTCTTCTCTAAGAAATCTCCTAAGAGAATTTGCCAGAATTTATTGGGACATGGGTTACAAAGACTAAGTATATTTACCTGTGTTAGGCTGGAGACGGGGATGTATTGGAGGAGAGAAGGGCAGATGTGCAGGTGTGGTCAAGTTCTGTGAGTGGGGCAGAGTTTCAGGGAATAAAAGATGGACAGGTGAATATAGAAATTCTAAGAAGCAGGTAAGTTTCATCTTACAACAATATGAAGAGCATTTCTTCTCTTACTTGGGTAGGATCATAGGTAAATTTGTGAATAAACTTCTAACTTTGGGTTGAGAATATGTAAATTACCAAAATTGGTAGAAGCCTTTTATCAGATTAAGAAAATTCCCTTATATTCCCTGCCAAAAGGTTTTTTTAAAAAAATCATGAGTGCATGATAATTGATCAAATACTGTTTCTACACTTTTTATCTATTTTAATATTCTTTTTCTCTGCTAATATGATAAAACAAAAAAGATGAAAAACCTTGATAAGTTGTTCTGATGTGGAGTCATTTTGCATTCTGGAATTAACCCTACTTCATGGCTATGGTATGTACTGATAAATTAAATTTATTAGCATTTTTTAAAAAAAATTAGTTTATGTTCATAGATAAATAGTCTCTATACTTTTTTTTTTTTTTTTCCTCACCCGAGGACATTTTTTTATTTTTTGTTCAGATAGAGTGGTAGGGAGAGAGAGGAACAGAGAGAGAGAGAGAAACATCGATGTGAAAGGAACACATCGAGTGGTTGCCACCCAGGGGACAAACTGCAACCAAGGTACGTGCCCTTAGCGGGAACCGAACCCGGGTCTCTCAGGACCGCAGGCCGACGCTCTAACCGCTGAGCCAAACCGGCCAGGGCTCTATACTTTTTTTAAAAAATTTTTGTTCTTGTATAGTTTGGGTAATATATTTACATGAAATGAGTAGGTTAGATTTTCTTCTTCTTTTTTTTAAACTCTTCAAAACAGTTCATAGAAGACAGGGACTATAATCCATGAAGGCTTGGTAAATTATCTTATAAAACTCTCTAGGTCTTCCATCTTTTTTTCAGGGGAAACTTTGGGCTATCAATTCAATTTCTGTGATGGTTATTGGTTTGTTCAGGTTTTCTATTTCTCCTGGGATCATTCTGGTAATTTACATTTTCCAAAATACCTTGTTTTAAACTTATTGACATAGAATTTCCAATCTCATGATATTATCTATCTCCACTGTCGTTGTAATGATGGTCCTCTTTTTTGTTTCTAATATTGTTTATTTATTGCCTCATTTTTTCTTCATTCTGCTAGAGTTTTATCTACTTTGTTTTTTTTAGAGAATGTTTTTGTTTTGTTAATCATCTCTAATCAATCATTTTTCCTCTTATATTTATTACTTCTATTTTTCTTGAGAGTAATGTTCTTTTTTGAGCTTCTTAAGAAGATTGCTTATCTCATCCATTTTTGTTTTATAATTTTTATGGATATAATTCTGCACATTTCATATTAGCTACATCTCCACAAGTTTTTATTAGTATCATTGTCATGTAGTTCTGAGTATTTCATAATTTTCATTGTTTTCTCCTTAACGCATGAGTTTAGAAATGCATTTTTCACTTTCCAAGAGATTTTGTTTTGTCTATCTTTTTAGTGTTAATATCTAATTTAATATTGTCAGAGAACTTTATATAATATTAGTCCTTTGAAATTCTCTGAGACTCTCTTTGGGGCTTCACTGTGGTCAGTTTCTGTTTTTAACAAACTTCAAAAAATATTTTAACATAAATATAGAAAAGTGCACAAATCATACATATGCAGTTCAATGAGTTATTACAAAGTGAACACAGCCTTGTACTCATACATAGTCATTTACAAAAATTTTTTTTCTTTATTGATTTTAGAGAGAGAGGAAGGAAGAGGGAGAGAGAGATAGAAACATTGATAAGAGAGAACATCGATTGGCTGCCTCTTGTATGTCCCCTGCTGGGGATGTGGCCTGCACCCTGGACATGTGTCTGACCAGGAATCGAACTGGTGACCTCTTGGTGCATGGGTCAGTGCTGAGCCACACTGGCTGGGTGTACATGGTCATTTTTATAATAGTTCCATGTGAGCTAAAAAATAATGTACATCTGGTCATTCAGTGGAAGCTTAAATCAAGCTTGTTAATCGTGTGGTTTGGATCTCTTACATCTTTATTCATCTTTGTCTACTTGATCTATTTCCAATATAGAGGTGTATTATAATTTCCCAATGCCATTGTGGGTTGTTAATTTCTTCTTGAGCAAGATTAAATACACAGAATGAATTGACAGTGACATGGAAACATTTTAATGCCCGTGCCTCTGTGAATTGCTTTTAACATGAAGACAAAGCAACTCATATATAACGGTTGGTTCATTCCATCCATTTAGTGTGCTGTATACAAACCAACCAAGCCAAAAAAAAAAAAAAAATTGCTGCTTAAAATACACAGTACACTTAGAAACACATCTGTCATGTAGACAGATCCAAAAGCTTATGAA